TAAAATAAAAAAGAGAAGAAATGTATAGTAGAATAAAAAGAAAAAGGAAAAAGAAAAGAAAAATATTAAATTAATGAGGGATAATTTGGAAAAAAATAAATTTATTATAAGGTTAAATTTGTCTTGAATAAATTAATCTTCGCTTCTGCTCAAAAGTACTTTTTCATTTTGGCCAAACACATTAAATGTTTTAAAAAGTATTTTTTAAACAAAAAAGTACTTATGGCCTCCTAAAAGCTTGGCCAAACAGGCTCTTAGCTCATTGGATTGATTGTACTTTTAAAATCATATGATCATATCTCATATTTATTGCAATTTTAATGAACTTTTATGCAATAAATTTATATTTTTCGTCGAAAATATTGAGTTCAGATAAAATTGATATTGCAAGGCTGCACCCATATCTGTTTAAAAGTGAAGTTGATTATCTAATACTAAATTACTAATAGTCACTCGATTTGAAAGATGGACCTTTTTAATGAAGTAGTAGCTAATAAGATTGGCAAGCAGTGCGAGGCAGGGCGGGTGCGGGGCAGGTTCTGCCTTAACCCACAAAATTTCAATCTGCCCCGCCTCCGCCCCGCATAGCACTTTACCCACGTTCACCCGCCCCGCATCCCACCCGCGTCTACCCGCTCCGCCCAAAATTTTTATTTTTTAAAAATTTATCTTATTTTTATGTTTATTCATTTTTGCTTTCAATTATATTTGTATATATGCCATTGTCAATCTAAATCTTTCTTTTTTAACGGTAAGCAATTAAGTAGATAAGCATAGAGAAGCTAAACAATAAGAATGAACATTAATAACAATATCTTTTGATATTTGGTTTTTTTTTTTTTGCTTTATAATTCACTTAAGTATTTGTAAATTTAAGCTGGATTCTGTCACTATTTGTAAGAAAGATAAGCACAGAAAAATTTGAAAGTATTCACCGAAATCGGAAACTAAATCCAAGTAACAGAATAAACCAAATTTAATTCTTAATGTATTAATTGCTGTGAAGTTAAGTCTATAAGTTTAGGTGATAGAACGATTTCAATACTTAATATGATTTGATTTCTATATAAAGAATTTGAATCTTTCGCATTCTATCACTGATAGAGAGCTTCAGACTTCTATCTTTAGAGGTAGAGCCGAGAGGGGAACAAAAAAGGCTGAAGAGAATTAGCACAAAGTCATAAACCCGCACCGCACCGCACAAATATTCAAAAAGATATATTTTAACTCGCCTCGTACCCGTATTTGTCTAAACCCGCCCCGCCCTGCCCCGCACATGTCTAAACCCGCACCGCCCCGCACCTGCATTCACCATTGCCATCCCTAGTAGCTATAGTGATTCCTAATATAATATAGCATTGAACAAACTAAGATAACTTGTAAATAGGAGTTTATTTACTTTTGTATTTGACCAGTCATTCAAGAACGATACCTCTTACCTTGTCCTGTTATTGAATTTTATTTATTGTTAAAATAATTTAAAAATAAAAAAAGAAGTCAGATGTCCAGTTTTTTTTTAAAGCAACTATACTACTCGGCAACACTTGCCTAGTGGCTAATATATAAATAAAATCCCAAAATGGGTCCAAAGCTTACAAGATGTCCAAACCAAAATAGAAGTTGCATGAAGCTACCAGCTATTAAAAAGATAGAAAAGCTAAAATCTAATGAACTAGTTATTACAACATAATGTTGAACGCTTCCTTCTCCTATCAGTGTATGTGAATCCAATTGTCATTGGCAAATACCAAGCATCACCTGTCAAGCTCTCACCAGGCGCCAGGGTATACTGTCCATAGGCTAAAATGAATTCCAAACATCTCCACCACAGAGTTGAAGCCAGCATAGTCTTCCAAGTGTAGCTACTATATGATCTCCATATGCAGTGGATTGATTTTGTTCAAGTATTAATCATGTGCTCACTCATCAAAATTAATGTGTAGAAGAGGAGCCTGGCTTTAGGCAGGCTTTGCAAGGCAAACGCTAGGCTTGAGCTGGCTTTAGGCAGGCTTTGCAGGGCAAAAGCCAGGCTTGAGCTGGCTTTAGGCAAGCTTTGCAAGGCAAAAGCCAGGCATGAGATGGCTTTAGGGCGGCTTTGCAAGGCAAAAGTCAGGAATGAGATGGCTTTAAGCAGGCTTTGAAAGGCAAAGACCAGGCTTTGAAACTGTGCCTTTTTGTGATTTTGTAAGCTCAGATCCTTCCCTACTAGAACCTTTAATGTAGACATCATTCTAAACATTGCTAAACTATCCTCAGATTAAGCATGAAAGCATGCTAATACCACTGAGAAATAATTCAACAATCTCCAGAAATACCGTATGATGGGTTCAGCATTTTCTTTAGCATTTGGACATATCAGAAGTAGGATAAATTGTACCATCCCATACCTGCTTATCGCATTTTTTCTGTACACTATCAAAGCACCCCCAGAATGAGCATGGGACCATGCTAATACCATTGGAAAGTACCTTAATAGCATACTGAATGAGACAAAGAAACATGTAGGTTTGTGCAGAGTCCAATCCTGTGAAGCCATCAGTCTGAGGTTCTTCTCTTTGCTATCCTAACCCTAAGGTTAGGTGATTGAGATTTTTCTAGATTGATCAACCTCTTCCCTGCACTAGGCAGTTTAGAGAATAAATGAAACTCAGATGTACCTACAAAAGAAAATACAATGTTAGCTATAAAATCCGCTACTAAGTTGCCTTCTCTGAACACATGTTGAAAGATCACATTGAAGTTATCCTTCATCTCTATAATTTTCTTCACATCCTGTGCAATTACCCAAGGAGGATCCCATTCCCCTTCTATCACCTTCTTTATCACCAATGAATCAGTCTCCAATATGAGAGGGTGAAGATCATGCTCCACACAGTATTCCAACCCTTAAAGAATAGCCTTAGCTTCAGCTACCACATTTGTTGTCACTCCCAGGTCTACTGCCCTAGGATACACCACATCACTTTCATCACCCCTCACACAAAAGCCTAGGGAGTTAGGTCCAGGGTTGCCCTTTGAGGCTCCATCAGTATTACATTTGTACCAACCATGAGAAGGAAGTTGTCATGTTACTCTTGTATAGGTTTATTTCCTTCAAAGTATTGAATCATGTCTGGCCATAACAATGGAATATTAGGCATCCAAGCATACCTCACCCTTTCCAGTTGATGCAATGTCCTATTTATCTCATGAATCACCTTATTTGTGGACACTAAATCCCCATATTTACCTGTATATCTTCTCTTCCAAAGCTCCTAAGTGATGATAACTGGTACTGCTTGAAATAGTGGCTTTAATTTTGGACAACACTGAGCATACCACCAATGCGTTATAATCTGCTTCAATTGAATCAGTTGCACAGTAATTCCAGCACCCCCCATGAATAAGTTCCATACCTTAGAAGCAGTAGGACTTGTGACAAATATATGCTCAATGGATTCCTCTTGGGGCTGCTGACAACACCAACACCTATACATCACCATTTGCCCCTACCTCCTCCACATGTCATCAATGGCTATTTTCTGCCTCCACAATCTCCACAAGAAGAAGGATATCTTGAATGGCAAACCTTTAATCCACATTAACTTGAATTCCTGATTAGGATCATCCATATGCCTTAATATTTGCCAAGCACTGCTAACACTAAACTTGCCTGAAGGAGTTGGCATCCAGTATGGCCTATCCCAATATCCCTCAATGCCTTCATAATGCACATTTAGCCTTATATGTTCTGCAATTTCCTCATTGAAAGTTTGATCTAGCAGCTGATCATCCCATGTTTCCCCTTGCCGCAATTCTACCACCTCCTGAAGATCTTCATTGATTGGAAAGTCTTCAGGTAATACGGGATAAAGTGCACCAAATCCAGTCCAATTTTCATGCCAAATATTATTGGTTCCACTCTTCAATTCCCATACGATCTCATGTTCTACTTCTTCCCTAGCATTCCGCATTTGTCTCCAAACATGAGACCCTCCCCTAAAATGCACCACTGTTGGTAGTTCCTTCTTGCAATACTTATTCCATATGAAATTAGACCACAAAGATTTTGTGGTCCTAAACCTCCACCATAGTTTAGCAAACAGTGCCCTTGAGACATCATGTAAGGACCTAAAACCTAGGCCCCCTTCCTCTTTAGGAAGGCAAAGATTTTGCCATGAAGCCAGTGTCTACTTCTCCCTTCTTCCTTTGTGCTCCAAAAGAACCTAGCAAAAGTCTTATGTAGATGCTCCAGGATGTTTTTTGGTGGATCAAGGACTGATAACACGTGAACTGGCATACTTTTTAACACACTAGAGATGAGTGTTGCCTTCCCTCCAAATGACAGCAGATTTCCTTTCCATGAATGCAATTTAGCCTTTACCTTCTTGATAAGATCCTCATAATAGTCCTTCATCCTTCTAGCTGGCTTTTGCCTTAACCTTAGCCATATCAAGCTTGATTACCACATTAGCTGGCTTTCGCCTTAACCTTATGTCAGTGGCAATTTCTTGAGTCAATAAGATGTTCTCAAATATACTCCTACCCTTTACAAATTCGGATTGATTAGGAGATATTAGAGATGGCAGAAAACTCTCCAATCTGTCATGTAACACCCTAAACAAGACATTGTTAATGAAGTTTCTCAAGCTAATATGTCTTAAGTCAGAGAAGGTCTCAACTCTAGGTTTCTTGGGCAGCAACACTAGATTGGTGTGAGTAATGGATTTAGGCAATGCAGCTTCTCCATAGAAGTGTAGTACCATGTTGTGTATATCAGCACCAATAACATCCCAGCATGTTTGATAAAACAGGCCAGTGAATCCATCAGGACCACTAACACTCTCCCCACTAAGCTCAAAAACTGTTGCCCTTATTTCTTCAATTGTTGGCAATCTGCTAAGTTCCAAATTCTGATCCATAGTGACTATTGAAGGAACATTATTGAGCAAGGAAAATTCAGAAGCATCACCTTCATTTGTGAACTGTTTTTGATAGAAGTCCACTGCAGCTGTAGCCAATTACTCCTGGTCTTCAATCCATACCCCACTGCCACTTTTGATCCTCTTCAGTTGCAATTTCTTTCTTTTGCCATTAACATGATTGTGAAAGAAACTTGTATTCATATCTCCTTCAGCAAACCAAGTCATCCCGACTTTTTGCTTCCAATACTGCTCCTCAATACTCAAGTATTTCTTCAATTCAGATTGAGCCTTTTGAAGCACAATCCTATTCTCAATTGTAGGTTCTTCTTCGAACAACATCTCCTTCACCCTAACAATGTCCTCCAAAATAGCCAATTGCTTGAAGATATCACCAAATGTTTCCTTACTCCATTTTGAAAGTGCTGCCTTCACCCTTTTGATATTCTGCTTGAACATCAAAAATGGATCCCCTATGAAATCAGCTTCCCAATTCTGCCTCACCACATTCATAAATGTAGCATGCTTTGTCCAAAAGTTCAAGAACCTAAAAGGCTTGACAAAATTGGTTGTCTGCACCCCACATGTTATTAGCAATGGTGCATGATCTGATCCAGTTCTGATTAGATTCTTAACTTCAATAGTTGGCAACATGTTCTGAAATGGCAAATTCACAAAAATCCTATCCAATCTCTTGAATATACACTCAGCATTGGATCTCCCATTCCACCATATAAATGGACTTCCTTTGTACCCTTGCTCAAACAAACTACAAGAGTTTACACAAAATACAAAATCCTCATATTCAGGAGGGTGTACTGGCAGTCCCCCTAATTTCTCATCTTCATGCAATACCACATTGAAATCCCCTCCTACCAACCATGGTAATTCCATATCACTTGCTAAGTAATACAAGTGATCCCACAATTCCAACCTCTCTATTGCTGAACATTTTGCATAAACAAATGTCATCATCATGTGTTGCCCTAGGTCATGGTGAAACACTCTCACAGTCACCTGTTGCTCAGTATTCTCCACTAATTCCCATTCCACCACTACATCGAAGAACAACCATATTTGCCCATTAATATTTGCATAAGCAATCTTCATATTCAACCTCCTTCTATATCTATCAATGAGTCCCTTCTTTTGAAAAGGCTCCATCAATGCAACTACAAAAAAATTATGCTTCCTATTCATGTTGATCACCCTAGGAAAGGCCTGTTGTATATTCACAGACCTTATGTTCCATATTAATGTTTTGATCATCATCATTTAGATAGAGAAGTTGCCCTCCTGGACATTATTCTTGAAGGTTGTGGTGGATCTTTAATCTAATTCTTATTAGTATTCTTACCTCCTTTAGCACTAGCTGTGGGTGATAAATCCCCTTCCCTAACCACTTGTTTGGAGTTTAATGCAGTTGATTCATCTTCTCCTTCATCCTCCATTGGATTTTGTCTCAATAAGTCTTCATCAATTGGTGTCACATTATGTGTAACTAAATCATGTAAATGTTGTAGATGAGTCTTAATTTGAACATTAAGATATAGCTGCATAATTTGGTTAGTGCCAAATTCCAAAGGCACTTCCTCTATTTCCCCAAATGTTCTTGGAACAATTGCCCGCTCATCAGCCCGTTCATACTCCTTGAATTGTAGCTCATAGACACTGCCTAGCCCAGGAGTTACTGTAGCAGTCTACTCTGAATGCACTGTTCTAGTGAGATCACCACCCTTACCATTGCCTGAAATTTGGTCTGAACCCACTATATCATCCCTAATCTTCACATTAACATATCCATCCAACTTTGTTCTCCAATGCATACACTGGAACACCATCTACATAGGCCAATATCTCTCCAGTTGCACTATGGTTAGGGTTTACTATAGCTGGCTCATCAGGTGAACCTAGATTTAGGCCCGGCGTCGCCAGCCTAATGCTTGGGGAGCCTGGCTTTAGGCCTGGCGTCGCCAGCCTAACGCCTGGGGAGCCTGACTTTAGGCCTGACGTCGCCAGCCTATCTCCAGGTGAGCTTGGCTTGTTGTCCTTCTTAACATTGACTTCTGTTGTCTTTGTTGTGCCCAATTGATCATCCTTAACCTCAACTACATCACTCCAAAAGACCTTTGTAGAGTTTACCTCATCAAGATCCTCAATCTGCCCAGAATCTTTAAATGTTTGAGATGGAATCTGATGACAAGATTGGTTTGTGGTCACATTGAGTTGTTTTAGCTCCTCATTGCTAGTCCCAAACCTTCTATGAACCCAGTCGATTGTGGATTTCTTATTAGCCCTTTCATCAGTACGTTGATCACTAGGAACACTAGAATTAGCCTTAGCTAATTCTTGAACATCTTTAAGAGCTGAAGACTGACTCCGAGAAGGAATAGGGTTACCATTATGCTCATTTTCCACCACCTTCTCGACTGCTTCATTCTTCACACGCTTATGTTCCTGTTGAGTATTGACTTCCTTTTCCTTCTCCTGGCCCTTCTTAGCTTGGTTTTCCCCATGTTCATTCTTCTTACCATTGCTATGCTCCTTACCTTTGCCTTCAGTAATTTGTAGAGTAGGCTGATGAACTTCCTCAACCTCTAGTGCATTAAACTTGTTCTTGGTTGCAACTTCCTCAACTTTGGCCTTCCCTTTACCCTTGTCAGCTTCCTTTCCTTGTTTGTTATCAACAATGTGACCCCTATTATCTCGTTGGTATGTGTTCTCCCTTGCTTGCATCCATTCCTGCTTGGCATGATTAGTAGTAGGCTTACCAACCACCTTTCCACTAGTTAGGACCTTTGTTGAATTTGCAACAGTCCCAATTGCATCAGAACTCGCCACAACTGCCTTCTCCTTGCTTTGTTCCTCAACACCTTCTTCAAATCTCTTGTGTAATTCAAGATGAATTACCCAGCATTCAACCTCACTATGCCCCTGTTTTTTGCAAGGTTTGCAATATTTTGGCATATAATCATACTTAATCCTGATCCACTTCAACTCTTATGGTCCAGATTCATCAGCTTCTTCCACAATCTTAATACGATGAGGGAACTTACTTAACAAGTTAACTTTCACCTTCACCTTAGCACAACTAGGTCTAGTCCCATTTTGAGTGGCTAGGTCTACATGTAATGGATTACCAACTGCACGAGCTAAGGAAAATACATATTCCTTCCCAAAGAAATTAGGAGGCAGTCCTGGAAAGCTAATCCAAGCAATGACAATGAGAGTCTCTTCATCAGGTGTCCACCATGGATTCCATTTTGTACAACGCATCTGCCACATGTCTGACTGAGCTTTTAAATAAAAAGTTGATTTTGAAAGAAGATGAACATAGTCCTCCAATAAAGACAGCTTAATCAACATATGATTATCTTCAATTAAACCAACTGAACAATGGCCTTTAATCTCATATTGAATTGGAATCACTTTACGTAATTCACTAATAACAGGCTTCCCATACGAAAATTTCCCAAGAACTGCAAGTAAAAGTCCTTGTTGTACGATAGATTGCTTCACTTCTTATTTCTTCCACTTCACCACTGGTTCTCCGTGAAGGAACTCAATTAGTTTCAATGGTAGCGTAGCAAAGGTTTGCATAGGGGAATTAATGTCAGTAGATTTTAAAAGTTTTGAATAATCTATGGATTGTGGATTGTTGTTTGTTGTCGTAGATGATTGGGCGATAGGCTGCACTGAAGCTTGGGCAACAGTCATTGCAGAAGGATTAGTTGAGTTGGGTGTCAAAATCTTTGAGTAATCTAGAGTTTATGGATTGATTGTTGGTATTGTTTGTGGGTAGGCGATGTTGGAGGAGGGCAGACTAGCCGGAAAAGATGGCTGGTCGCCGGCCATTGCGGCCATTGAAGCTCAAAATCACAGCTTTCCGCGATGAACAATATCAAATCACTGTTTCATTGGATGAACAGTGAAGCGATGTTACTGTTCACTACACTGTAGCTGCGAAACAGCAGCGAAATCACTGTTCGCGCCACTGTTTGGCACTATTCACCGTACTGTTTTGCACTGTAGCGGCTGTTCGCGCACTATTCGCCGCGCTAGTTTAAGCTTGATGCAAGACGTATTTTTAAATAAATAAATAAATTGAACCTTTATTTTGTAAAGATTAACGTAACGACCTTTTTATTTGTTGTTAAGATAGATGGTACACCCATACAACTTGACAAAATGAATGCTTAATATATTAAGAGGATAAAATCGTCAAAATACTTCTTTTCACGAACATCATCTTAATTTAGCAGTAATAAAAAATACAAATTAGTAATTGTAAATTAAAGTTGAATTTTATGTATTTTTTTCTTCAACCATGACGAAGGCCTATGTGATATTTCATTCGTATGGTAATTTAGATAACAAAGCAAGGTGATTCCTTTCTCAAAACCTAATCTTTGTCAAATACGAATCATACTCGTACATTTCGTGTCAAATAAATTAAATTATTGTTATAATTATTTGCCTTTTGTCCCAAGTTAGAATCTAACATAAACATCTCAAATTTTCACGAGAAGGGATTTTATAAATTGCACGGGATTAGAACACCTCCCATAACACGAATCACGTTGAGATGCTACAAAATTCGAGTTTTATCTATATTAAGAAAAAAATGATTGTAAAACTTAAAAATATTACATCTTTTATTTTCCTTTTTCTAGTGCTTCCTTCGTTCTAATTTTGTGTCTTACTTCGAACAATCGCATTTATATATCTAATAAAATTTTTAATTTTAATACTCATATTTAATTTTTAAAAACACTCCCGTATAGATATGTAACGTTATATCTAAAAGATTCACAAGGTACTTTAGCATATTATATATATATTTATTTTAAGTTTATAAGATTCAAAGATCTTATTTATACTTTTAAATTTTATTCCAACTAAAACACATAAAACGAGATCGAAAAAGTAATTCATTAGATCCTTATGGTGACTTTTAAAACTTAAAGAAGTCAAATTTAAATTAAAGAACAACTCCGCTTATTTGTGTCTAGGGCTGTATTTTGTCCCGGGCCCGGGCCTTAGTGGGCCTAACGGGCCGGGCCTCGCGG